TCTGAATCCCCAAAACATAAGAGGCCTCACCAAAATCCTTCATATCAAAATGAGATGACAGCATGCGCTTTGTCTCAAGCAAAAGCTCAATGTCATTTGCAGCGAATAATATATCATCAACATAAAGAACAAGAAATATATACTTACTCCCAGTGACCCTCAAGTATAGGCATTGATCAACAACATTCTCTTTGAAACTGAAAGAGGTGACAATCTCATCAAATTTTAGGTACCATTGCCTCGATGCCTTCTTAAGCCCATAAATTGACTTCTTAAGCTTGCATACCATGTNCTTGCATACCATGTGTTCCTTTCCATCTACTTGGAAACCATCTGGTTGCATCATGTAAACATCCTCAAATAAATGTCCATTTAGTAAAGCTGTCTTGACATCCATTTGATGCAACTCGAGATCAAAATGAGCCACCAATGCCATAATAATCCGAAAAGAATCCTTGATAGAAACAGGTGAGAAAGTATCCTTATAGTCAATACTTTCTCTTTGATTAAAACCCTTAGTAACAAGCCTAGCTTTATACCTTTCTACCTGACCTTCAAAATTATACTTAGTCTTGAAAACCCATTTACAGCCAATTGGCCTATAGCCACAAGGTAGTTCAACTAAGTCCCATACTCAGTTTCTATACATTGATGTCATCTCATCATGCATAGCATCCATCCAAAATGAAGATTTCGGACTATCAATGGCCTCTTTAAAAGAGGTCAGATCAAGCGACGTACCAACATCAAACTCATGCTCCTGCAAATAGACAATATAAGCATCAGAAATTGTTGATCTACGAACTCTCTGTGATATCCTCAAAATAATGTCATCAGTCCCCATATCAACATCAACCTCAGTATCAGTGACAAGGTCTTGGACAATAGTATTGGATCCTTCTGTTAATGGTGGTGCTTCACTGATGGAGGAGTAACCTGAACAGGTATTACAACACGCTCCTCCCTGAACTCAACTTCACGTGGTGCAGAACTCCCACTGTCACTAACATCCTCGAAAAAAATGGCTCGATCAGATTCAATAATCCTAGTAACATTAGAAGGACAATAGAATCTAGAGCTCTTGATCCCACATAATAGCCAACAAAATACCCAGTGATAGTTTTAGGGAAGTTTCTTTTGCTGAGGATTATAAGACTTTATTTCTGCTTTACAGTCCCAAACATGAAAAATGACGCAAACTAGGCCTTTTACCTGACCATAACTCATAAGGTGTTTTAGGAACCGACTTGCTCGGTACTTGATTCAGAATGTAAGCAACAGTTTTCAAAGCCTCGCCCCACAAAAAATCAGGCAAAGTAGAATGACTAAGCATACACCGCACCATATCCATAAGAGTACGATTTCTTCTTTATGCAATACCATTCTGTTCAGGAGTTCCAGGCATTGTGTACTGAGCCTCAATACCACATGCCTCAAGAAAAACAGCAAAAGGTTCAGGATTTCTCCCAGTTTCATCATATCTCCCATAAAACTCACCACCTCTATCTGATCTTACTGCTTTGATTTTCTTATTTTTCCAGAGTTCCACAACAGCCTTGAAAACCTTAAAAGCTTCCAATAAATCTAATTTTTCTCGAATGAGTTCAATGTAACCATAGCGAGAATAATCGTCAATAAAAGTAATAAAGTATCTATAATTTCCCAAAGTGACAGGTGTAATGGGACCACAAATATCAGTATGAATCAAATCCAGAATTTCCACACTTCTGCTAATCTTTTGTTTTCTGGTTTTAGCTGGAAGCTTCCCTTAGATACAAGCAACACGTGTTTCAAAATCAGAAAAATCCAAGTCACCCAATATACCATCCCTAGTCAACCTTTTCATTCTTTCTTTAGAAATATGACCCAACCTTTTACGCCATATGCCATAATATATAAGAGTTTTCATTGGATCTAGTACGTTTAGAACCAACTACAGCATTCACAACAGAGGCACTAGAAGAAGTAGAATCCAAAATAGGAAACAAGTCAATTTTATACAAACCATCATATAAAGTAGCAGTACCAACCACAACAGAATTATAATAGATTGTCGCCTTTCCATTTCCAAAATAAAAACCATATCCACATTTATCCATAATAGAAATGGANCAAAATAGAAACAGAGATAAGGTTTTTTTCTGCTAGAAGGTATAAAAGCAATATCAGACAAGTTCAAAACATGCTTAGAAGCCAAAATAAGTCTGACTACTCCAATATGTTCAACTTTAACCTTCACTCCATTGCCTATATTTACTACTGACTCTGTATCAATTGGTCTTCTACGGTTCTTTATTTCCTGCAAAGAATTTGTAGTGTGAATAGTTGCACCAGTGTCTAGCCACCAAGTATCGGAATGCACATCAACTAGATTAGACTCAAAACACACTAGTAGAGAATGGGTACCTTTCTTGTCTAACCAAGCCTTAAACTTCTTACAATCAACTTTCTTGTGCCCAAAGATATGACAAAAGTTACATTTACCCTTGAAAACTTCCTTTTTAGCCGTATCTGGAACACTCACAGTAGCCTGCTGAGAAGGTCTCCCAGACTTCTTCATCTTACTGGAGTTGCTACTATTACCTTTGAAAAATTTCTTCTTCCCTTTATCAGCAGTTACCATGAAAGCAACATGAGAATTTGCCTTTTTCATCATCTCTTTTTCTTGAGTTACAATAACAGTCATTTCATTCAAGTCCCATTCNTTCTTCTTTCTGAGCATTATAAGTAATCTTGAGTGCATCAAAATGAGGGGGTAAGGATTCAAGTACTTGCCATACAAGAAAACTATCTGCTAACTCAACTTTTGTTCCTTTCAACTTGTTAAAGAAATCAGTAAGCTTCATAATGTGCTCTCTTACACCACTAACTCATCATAGGTGGTGGTAGTAAGAAGTTTCATCAAAGTTCCCTTTTCTGCCTTGTCAAACTTAGTAAATTTCTTCCCAACAACCTCAAGATACTTTTTGGCATTATATGTATCAGATATACTCTGCCTGATAGACTTGTCAATAGTATACTTCATGATTATAAGACAAGTCCCATTAGAATGCACCCACTGCTTATAAAGAGTCTTTTCAGCTACAGTACTTTCACTAGTGGGTTTGGCAGGTGCATCAACCCTCAAAGCCAAATCCAAATTCATTATAGCCAAATTAATAGTGAGAGACTCACGCCAATCCTCATAATTGGTTCTTGTTAGACTTTTGATGGCAGACAAAGAGAGAGACATAGTTGCATTGCCATAAGTTGAGGAGAATACAATAAAAATTTATCAAACATATACAATGATAAAAGTGCTCCCATAAATGTATACAATAGACAACTTTATGTCCATGCTAGAGTTTTATTTAAAAAAAAACTCTTACGCACTATGTTAGAGC